TGAGAAACAATCAATATAACGCATTTCAATAGGAACATTGCCATTGGTTGTTAGTCTCTTGTTTTTAAAAACATCATATTTTATATCTGAACGCTATAAGTCATGCATGATGAGGGTAGTGTTTTTAGCTTGTGTGATATAAAAAACTTATATATTTTGCAAATTATTTCTAATTATATGAAAATTCGTTTGCCATTCTAAACAAAACAAGTAAAATCGGAATATACTAAATTAATAAACATTACACTAATGTGAGCATACCACCGAACATAAAGCCTAAATAAGCATCATATTATTTTTGTTATTTTACCTAACCCGCCATGTTAAACTTCCCTATCCCAAGCGTGATGTATATAGCTTCGTTACTTCTCGAGTGATGTAAAGTTGTAAAAAACTCACTCGGTGATGTAATGAAACCCATTTAAATAACATTGAGTGATTAACTTAAAAAATATACCTCTATGGAGCCAACGCTAGAAATCAGCTGTGCTCTTGAATTTTATTGTTATATTTTGAAGAATTTTCCTAACCTAGCTTTTGTTTGTAAATGAACGTTACTGTTAGAAGACGAGTGAAATGGATAATGATTAATATTGTTCGTAACCTCCTGTATATTGTCGGGCCAGGTAAAATCTTGTACGTTAGCGTGTTTATACATCACTTAGGTAAATTATGCAACTCGCTTCCGCTCGTTGTACAACCTTCACCTGCGTGATGTAAAAACGCTCTTACTACACTTGTAAAGTAATAGCTATTTACATTACAAGTGTAGTAAGAGCGTTTTTACATCACGCAGGTGAATGTTGTGCAACGAGCGAAGGCGAGTTGCATAATTCACCGAAGTGATGTAAACACGCTCTTGCGTAACGTGTAACGTACAAGATTTTACCTGACCCGACAATATTCAGGAGGTTACAAGCAATATGCTTCATTATCAATTTCACTCATCTTCTAACAGTAACGTTCATTTACAAACAAAAGCTAGGTTAGGAAAATTCTTCAAAGCATAACAATAAAATTCAAACACACAGCTGATTTCTAGCGTTGAACGTCGTTGGCTCCATAGAGGTATATTTTTTAAGTTATCCACTCAATGTTATTTAAATGGGTTTCATTACATCACCGAGTGAGTTTTTTTTCAACTTTACATCACTCGAGAAGTAAGGAAGTTGTATACATCACGCTTGGGATAGGGAAGTTTAACATGGCGGGTTAGGTAAATAGCTATTACAAACAGAAAATAACGTTGCAAATACTTCTTTTGGACAGTTCAGTAACTCCTAATAAATGTGTGTTGTTTAAAATACAGTTTAAAAATTAACAGCTGTTTCATTAAAAAGTATTATGCACATGACCAAAATGTAAACAAATCTGTGGAGGGATCTTTAAAGGCTTCTGGGGCAGAGCCCTAAGGGAATTTACTTAGTTTTTCTTCTGATAACTCATCTACAGACCAAGACCTTTATTTGGACACCTCTACCAAGTTTCTACGCCCAGCCGTTCTCTCGAATTAGTGGACACACAGTTTCCAATTAAATATTTAGATTCCTCCATGTTAATCTTATAGGAGAAAACCTAACTTTGATGAATAATCCTGCCCAAACTAATAAAGATTTCAAAAATTTAAAAACACTTTGCAAAACTACAGATCATGCCAATTTTTTTACACTTTAATCATTAAAATCGAAATTCAATCTATGCCTGGCTTGTTTTCAGCCAGGTCTTTGCTCATGAGAACGTGACTTGAACTTGAGATCTTGCGATCATCTTTACTTTTCATTCCTATGAGGGGTCAGCGAGCGTTTTGTATTGTTCATGAGTTTGTAAAGAAAATGATTTAATAATTTAAATGTTTAATTTCCGTATGTTTATAAGGGCATTTAACAACTGCGCAATTAATAAGTACTGTAAACCATATTACTGTAAAAGGCCGGTCTTTATAAATTATATAGTTCTAAAAGAAATTTCTATTTGACCTCTTTGTCACAAAAACATACTTCTTTGTATAATGATTGTTATGTAAATGCAGTTGTCATCGTAATTTACAATTATTGATCCGTCTAAGTGTTATTTTTTCAATAAATGTAAATATCTTGTTTGGTAAACAAAGGATGTAATTGAATCTGTAAGTTAAGACAAGTATGCGAAAACTACAGTTTTCCATTAGCTCAAGCCTAAATTATATTGTATGTAATGTAGCTTGTTATATTTCGTTATTTTGTCACGTAAAAACATTTAAATTATGTATGATGTATAAATATAAAAAAATTTAACAACAAATCCATTTGAAAGTAAAGTTTAGACATTGGTACGGTCGACATTGGTACATTATCATTGGTGAAAATGCACATGCACATTAACATTAATGCGGCTATGTGTTTAAGTTGAGACACGTTTGTAGAAAACACTAAAAAGGCAATCCTCTAAACAATTTTAAAATATTTACAACTTTAATTATATAGAAATGTTCATAACACAGTAAGTAATTCCATTAGTTGCATAAGCTTTTACGTGAGTCTTTTCAATTAATTGAAAATTAAGTCTGTAATAACTCTTAAAATAGCTCCTGTAATACCGGTACTTGATAATTGCTTGATTTCTAGCAACGAGTACACAAGTTAAAAATTCAACAATGCATTAACATAACAAGCTCCCTTTCACGCTGCAAGACTAGTAAACGGCAGAAGTAAGGCAGAACGGCAGAACTGCGGTAATGGTTTACCATACACGCCTGCAACGATGCGCTGCAAACCACGCGACGAGTAGCTAAATGAACCGTAGAGTAAGTGAGCCTTCTAATATTTGTAGAGGGTTCACTTACTCTACAGATCATTGTGCCAATGAACTGTAGAGTAAGTGAGCCGTCTTCTATTTGTGTAATAGTTATCATGAAAAAGGCTCGTATAGTATACGAGCCTACTCCTGTAATTTATTTAAATTCAGTATTTTGGCTCGTATACTATACGAGCTTATTCCTGAATTATTCAAGAATTCATACGCTTGGCTCATAGGCACTATGATCTGTAGTGTAAGTGAACCCTCTTCATTTATTTGATATGTTTGATCGGCTCGTATAGTATACGAGCCTGTAGTGCAAGTGAACCTTCAATATTATTTACGAAGCTCGTATAGACTATGATTTGTAGAGTAAGTGAGCCATGTGTTTTAAGAATTACATATTTGGAGGCTCATAGTGTCAATGATTCGTAGAGTAAGTGAACCCTAACCAAACATTTTTACCTTCCCTGTTGCAGCAAACCTAAGTATGTGTTAAACTGATTATATTTAAATAGGGAATAAATGTGATATTTTTAAGGAGACATTTTAGTGTAAATCCAATCAGGCAAATGGAAATTAGCTTAGTCTGCAGGTTTGCTGTGGCGGGGATATGTATACATAAAATACACCGGCCTCGGTGGTGTAGTGGATAGAGTGCTGGGCGTATGATCCGAAGGACCCGGGTTCAAATCCCGTTTAGCTCTATTTTTTTGTATTGGATTTTTTCCACTATCAACAAGTTTGGTTGGTTTGGTTAGGTTATGACGGTTTAATTTTATAATTAAAACATTATGAAATTCAATTTGACCCATTTATAGTTTTATTTTATGAACAGAAATATTTTTGTCTGTTAAGCCTTCATTTGATTTTTCATTATTAGCAAGTCTGGTTAGTTTGGTTAGGTTATGATAGTTTAATTTTAGAATAAAAAATTATAAAATAGGATTTGAGGCATTTGTAATTTTATTTCATGAACAGAACTATTTTTTTTTATAATAAACCTTCATTAGATTTTTTCATTGTCAGCACGTTTGGTTGGTTTGGTTAGGTTATGATGGTTTAATTTCATAATAAAAAAATTTATAATTGAATTTGAGGCATTTATAATTTTATTCAATGAACAAAAAAAAATTCAATTACTAAACCTTTGTTATAGCATAGATAAAACATACTCCCTTAGGTTATATTCAATCAGAAGCCTCTAAATGACACTGTTGGCAAAATCAATCCTGGAAAACAAATTGTGCTGTCTGTGGTCAGATCCTCTACTCTCTACCTAGACTTCTCATCCCATTGTAAATTTTGAAGCAAATTTTTCGTGTCTAGTTCATGTACGTGACACAAAGGCGCTAGTGTCGACGAAACTTTGTTTCTATTATTTTAGGGTTAATTTCTTGATTTGTGCTTTACTGTTTGGTTATATAACTAGGGGAAAAGTTATTGTTTATGATTAGATCGTATTATTTGGTTAAACGAGGTTTTAAATGGCTGTAATAACGGGAAACCAATTGTAAACAAAACACGACCTCTACAGAAAACCAGACAGAACTAACAATAAAATTGGCTTCAGCTGTTCCAAAAGGATGGGAAATCTACTAAGGGAGGGAAGAGTATGTTTTATCTATGTCTCTACCTACATTCTGGTATTTACTCAGGGGAGGTATAGATGAGGTTACGATGACAGCTGTGGGCTTCTCATTAGCAGAGGGAACACCAATTGCGTAACAATACGATTTTCAGCTATCGGCCTCGGTGGTCTAGTGGGTAACGTGCCGGGTTGACAACCTGAGAGTCTCGGGTTCGAAATCGCTGGTGGAACTAACTTTTGCAAGTTTGGTTGGTTTGGTTCGGTTATGACAGTTTAATTTTATTATTAAGTCATTATAAAATTTTAATTGAGCAATTTCTAGTTTTATTTGATGAACAGAATTATTATTTCTATTAATAATCTTTTTTATATTATTTCATTATCAGCAAGTTTGGTTAGTTCGGTTAGGTTATGATAGTGATTTTATAATAAACAAAATTTTTAAATTGAATTTGAGGCATTTATAATTTTATTTTATGAACAGAACTATTTTTGCAATTAGTAAACCTTCATTGCCAAAATGCTTTCTACTACAGCGCTGTTCACGGAGGAATTTTGAACTAATGCCTCAATCATACCTCCCCTAAGTCAGACCCCTACATACATTCTAATCTACTTACTTACCTAACCTAAACAAACATACCTATAACATAACCTGTAAAACTAAAAACAACACAATACAACTTAATTTCAGGTGAAAGAAAAATACAAGAAAGTAACTTAGATTACTGTATGTTTCTCTGAATCTGCGTGGTCACAAAAAGTAAATTGATTTCATAAAAACTATGGATTCCCAATATGTTTTACGAGAGCACAACATATCTAAGGTAAAACGTTAGGCTTATCTAACTTAATTACCTATTAACTTAGGCCTGTAAAACGTTAGGCTTATCTAACTTAATTACCTATTAACTTAGGCCTAAGTTATAATCAAATTACCATATAGGCCCAGTAGAAATTGTCTCAGGTTATTTGTATCAAAATAATAGAAAAGTAATTATTTATTACCCTAGTAATACATCCCAAAATAGGGTACTGTTTCTTAACTGGGCTATACAAATTTTGGCTAGAAAACTAAATCCAACGTTGCCTCACTGCCCCCAACTCAAGCAGCTGTGTGAACATAACTCGCTTAGAGTTTAAATTTACATTCGGGTGAATGAATGGGGGTGAAAAAAATTATTATTGGTCTATGGTAACAGTGCCAATCACTCTAAGCCATGCATCGGTCTTGAAATTTTACACAGAAAATTTTATAATGGGTGCCAATACGATTGAGGATGTACGATGGGCTGTGATGCTAGAATCTAAGTAAGTAAGAAAGTAAGTATAGTACCAAACGCACATTCCTTTATTTATTAACTTGTTAAATCTACACACAATGTAAATGCTTAGCAACAGTATATGCCTACATAACACAGATTGCTGTTATTTTAATTTTGATAATCTTGATTTTGGTACCTATTACTTATTATTATGTGTAATTTTTTTTACTTTTACCCTTTTTTAATTGTCCAGATGAACAAGCTAGAATGCTCACAAATAATGCATCGAAACGTTTGCCAGAACCTGCCTCATTACAACCCTCTGAGTGAGGATAATTTAAACGGCAACAGTTTGTGTGACTTTTCTGTTCACTAAATAAACTGTCAACGGTTCAGTAACACAAAATTAATCAATTTTAACACTTTGTATTTATATAAGACCTTTGCCTGGGCATGTACAATGAATATATGTCATTGACAGAATAATTGGAGAAATTTAAAAACTAACACAAAATGTTCCAATTTTCAAATAGCTCTGGAGCCTAAACGGTTTATCGGAGATTATCACATTAGGGGTACATTTTGTAGCAAATTTTGTGTACTTTAATTTTTATAATATAGACTAATAACAAAAAGTTGATAGTTTGTGAGTTATAAGCTAAATATTACAAAAAAATATAATTTTTTCCATATTTTTCTCATTTTTGTCAATGTTGCGTCAAGAATTTTTGTTGGCAAACCTCAGATTCGGATTCAGCACCCCAAAATACATAAGAAATGGAAAAAATCAAAACTACCTACCTCAAAACTTTCTCGCTATGAGTAAATTTAAATACAAATTTACTGGATTAAAATAGATCAATTGAAAAGCAATTCAGCCAAATGGAAATTCGCTTAGACAGCAGGTTAGCTGCGGCGGAGGTATTTTTGTATTGATAGAAAAGTCACAAATAAACACAAAACACGGTTAAGTCAAATAGGCCTACTTTCAGTGGAATAGATTATAGGGCAAAAACTTGAAAACAGGACAATTGCTGTCCCCAGCATTTGAAAAAAATTATACTTACCTACATTAATAAATCTTATATTTTTTGAAAGTTTGGTCTTTGTAGTTCATAAATATAATGTTTTTAAGTCTGAAATTAATTTATATAATTAATTATTACTAGAAGAGAAATTTGGGGACAGGTTTTTGTGTAATGTGGGTCACACACAAAATCTTAAGTTTTGACACAGTTAGCTTGAAAGAATTGTGGTAATTATGATTCCATTAGCTTTTTAGGTTACCAAATAACAGTCAAGTGTGAAAAATATAATAGTTTATGAATATATTTGATGTTAAAAGCTAAAATAAAACTGTAATAAATTTGTGGACATGATTTAAGTCTCTCTATTTTTCCTTTATCCAACACACAATACTTATTATAGGTTGTTTTTTGGTTTTTTTCAAATAATGTACTTATAAGTACAATTTCCAATTATAAAACGACCATTTGAATTAGTGGTTTTTATTATATGGCAACAAAAACTTTGTGACCAACTATTACAAGAGTGACCCAAATTACAGCTAATGTAGGTCACGTGACTGACATTACATGTAATGCAGGTAACAAATTTTCAGCTGGATCCATTAACTAACATCACAACAGAGGTGTCAGCAATTTGTTAATTACAGTAATGTATAATATTAGTAACGCTGTGTCACCTTTTGATTTTATCGTCTGCTAATGATAGATCACATCAGACTGAGCGAGGTTCGTAATTTTCTCGCTAATCTCGCAGCCAAACTCTGGCCGCCCAGATTGTCATATAGTCTCCACAATCGGAATATTTATCATAAAGAAAATAAATATAAGCAATCACCAATCATATCGTGGGTTACTGGAAAAAAAAAATTCTCGACATTGAAAACTCATAAGAGAAGTAATTTGGGTCACAAAATGTACGAAAAGTAATGCTGGTCACACCTCAGATCCTCAGATTTTGTGACCGACATTAGCGTGACCGATATTAGCATTTTTACTCTCGTCATTGACTAAAACGAAACATGGTGGCATAGTTCCCTTCGCAAGCTATTATGTTTGATTTAATATTTGTTTTACTTATATTTTCTTAGTTTTCAATAACTTATTCACCTTATTGTCACAGTTATCAAGGGTACCGAGCATTACGCAAAAACTTAACGCTAACAAAACAGGTTTTAAAAAACGACTTACCTGTTAACCTGCAAAGCCTGGAGTCACATCGCGTCTGACCTACCACACCCACATCTAACAAGGAACCAAGAGAGGGCGAAGTCTTGTTCCACCCGAAGTCGAGAAGGTTCAATGACCCGACGAGAACCGGTCCCAACCCTCGAACCCAGCATTACGTTCCCGGCTGGGGACGCGACTTTTAACGCCCGCTATTGCCGTTATATTTAATTAAAAAGTCCGTTTGATGTATTTTTATAATCTTTTAACATTATTCATCAATTTAAAACCAAATATTACAACAATATCGTCTTAATACTACTGAAGAGGTAGGGTTATTGTATCCAACTTCTAATCTTGGGGACAGGGTTTTTGCATTAAATGTAGACAACATGAACTTTTTAAACACACTTTTCTTTATTAAATACAACAAAAACAAATACAAATTACGCATTTTTATATAAAGTAAAGTATGATAAATTATTTAAAACCATTAGAAGTAAGAAATACATGACAGAAGCTAGGAGGATTAAACATTAAGGAGAGGGCACGCGAATAGGAATACACGTGTTGCGGTGAAGCCAGCTTTAGCAGAACACTAGAGGGGCACGCGGAGCCGTAGAGTGGCAAAAAGCCTCGGCTATAACATGGGAGAGATAGGGAAAAACGCGACGCGCGCTGTTTCGAATTAAAATTGCCGCTAAACTAAAACACCCGTGTTATTCACCGATGGCATTCTTAAAGTAAATTAAATTTCCTATCGAACGGTGTCAATCATTCCTATAAAAACTATTATTTATTATTTATTATTGAAGATCAAAGTTGAAAGAATTTACCTGGACTTTGAACATATGATTACTATAATTACGTTTTTGAAAAAAATATGATGTATCTACACGAATTAACAATGTATTCATGTTCCTTAAAAGTTTCTCGAAATAAAAAATATATATTTACCTATATTTAAAAGTGTATTTTATAAAAATAATTACAATAAATTTTATTTTTATTTTTCCAGTTTATAAAACAATCTTACTAATAATAGGTTAAAATGAAAATTTTAATTCGGGTGGTGAAATATATTTTAAACTTGCATTTTTCATAGTTTTCTCGATTTGTTAATATCATTTTTTACTAGTTTTAAGTCATTGATGTGCTAGACAGGTGATTTTAAATAGCCAAAGTTAAGAAAAAATGCAATGCCGCTCTAACTTTTTTCAAACCAACAGCCGTTACAATTAAATTACAATCATAAAAAGTAAAACAATTTCTTGGCAATCAAATTTTTGATTTTTTAAATACCATATTGAACTATATTTGATCTGTTTGCCCAAAGAAACTTCGAGTAAAAAGTGTAAATGTTCAACAATCATCGCGTCTTCTGACGCCAAAGTGCGTTTATCATTCTTTTAAAGGATTAAAACCTATTTTATTTCTCTTTAAGAAAATGTTCAAATACACATACAGTAGGCTACTACTTATGATTTGAGTTTTAATTTATGAACAGTAAAATCCATTGGTGATATGGCGGGATTTGAACCCGGGACCCCATGAACCGGAGTCCCGCGCTCTGGTTAGAGTATTATAAATAATACACAATACAAGTATGGCAAAAAATAAAAACAAGGACAACGAATTCTAAAATACAAGTCGTCCTTGTGTAAATTACTCACCTTTGAACGTACTATTAGTTCATAAATATGACTTTCCTCTTAATAGGTTCCCAATATTACGGTTAGAATTTAACTTTTTAATTTTCGTAGCATGATGAAGTCTAATTTTTATAAATAGTCAATTGATATTTCTGTTACCAAATCTTCCAGTAGGTTTCACAAATTGTTGTTATTCCGAAACCTGGTAAACCTTTAAATCAAGCATCCTCGTATCGGCCTATATCTCTTCTTCCTGTGGTTTCTAAAGTTTTTGAAAAACTTTTCTTAAAAAGACTTCAAATTATAATTGACGAAAAAGAATTGTTGCCTTCCCATCAGTTTGGATTCCGCCGAAGGCATTCCACCATTGAGCAAGTGCATAGAATAGTTAATGTAATCAAGGAAGATCTTGAAAATAAACGTTTTTGTTCATCTGCTTTTTTGGACGTAGCCCAGGCGTTTGATAAAGTCTGGCACACAGGATTATTGTTCAAAATTAAAACTTTGCTGCCCCATACATACTATGGAGTGTTGAAATCGTATTTGTCCGAACGCTTTTTTCAAATTAAATATCAAGATATAGTTACAGATGTGCATGAAATTGAATCAGGTGTACCACAAGGCAGTGTTCTTGGGCCTATTTTGTATATTTTGTTCACTTATGACCTTCCAAGTACTCAGGGTATTACGGTTGCAACATTTGCAGACGACACTGCTTTTTTATCATCAAATCAGGATCCTATTCTGGCATCATCAAACCTTCAGGCTGCATTAGACGATTTGTCTCAGTGGCTACAGAATTGGAAAATTAAAGTAAATGAAACAAAATCTGTTCAAGTTACATTTACTATGTCTACAAGAACTTGTCCCCCAGTAACATTGAATAATGTCATGCTTCCACAATCCAACGAAGTTAAGTACCTTGGTATGCATCTCGACAGACGGCTTACATGGCATTCACACATTTGGAACAAACGACTTCATTTAAATTTAAAAACAAACAAACTAAATTGGCTCATTGGTCGAAATTCAAAATTATCTGTTGAAAATAAATTACTTTTATACAAAATTATATTGAAACCTATTTGGACCTACGGTATCCAACTCTGGGGAACCACTTCCAACTCAAACATAGAAATAGTTCAAAGGTTTCAATCGAAAACACTGAGAAAAATTTTACAAGCACCTTGGTTTGTCACAAATAAAGTAATTCATCAAGATACAAAATTACCCTATGTTAAAGAAGAAATAAAGAAACGAAGTGAAAAATACCAAAGAAAATTAGAAACCCATCCAAATTTCCTGGCAGTTAACCTCCTCGACAATAGTGAAGCTACATATAGGCTCAAAAGAGTTAATCCAATAGACCTTTCAAATCGTTTTTAGTTGAACTTTTTAAAAGTTTTTGTATGTTAGTGCACTTGATGGAGTGTAACTAACCCATGTTAAAATGGTTATCAAATTTACTTATTATTCTAGTATAGAATAGATTGTGAATAAATACTTGTAAAAAAAAAAAAAAAATCTTCCAGTAACGCATACAGCGCAGTATGAGAGGGGGGCGGGAGAGTAGCGCTGCCTCCCCCCTCCTCAGTACGCTGGCTTCAACGAAACTACAGCGTGTCCTCTCCTTAATGTTTAATCCTCCTAGGACAGAAGAGAGATAATTAGCTGGGGACAGCAATTGTCCTGTTTTCAAGTTTTTGCCCTATAATACTAAGCAAGAGTCAATAAAAATTCCTATTTTAATAACTTTAGTACTGTAAAGTATTAATTGATGCTTTCCGAATCCATTGTAATACATTACAGAACCTTTTGTCGAAATTAAAGATACAAGCAACCATTTTGTTACAAGACAGGATGTTTATTTATAGCCTCTCACTTAAAAACTTATTTATAGCGTTCAAGGCACAAAAACTATCTTGACCTTGGAGTTGTTAACCCCCTTCCCTGCCCTCCCTACAAGTTGCGTTGTTTGTTTAAATTTGCCGCACAGATAACAAATCAGATCAGATGTGCTCACGCTACGAATAATGATGACAAACTGTCAACATGCTATACTTTTTGTGATAAATACAAAATACAGTAACTTATTCTTAGTCACATCCTGTGGAGATAAGCGTATGGTTCGATTCTCATCGCTCAGCGTGGGAGCGGAAATGCCGAGATTACTAAAATGCGGCGGTTAAACCGAACTGCTCTCAAAGCAAGGTCGGTTAAAAAAAACTGTAATATTTTATGATTGAAGGTGGATAACCCGAGTATCGGTTAATACAAGGTCGGTTAAGAGGGGGTCTACTGTATAGAGACATAGTTTTCCAAAAACTTAAGATTCTTAAACTTTATGAGAAAAAGAACAACATAACAAAATTATGTATGTGGATTCTTGCATTGGTCTGAAACACTTCTTTTATATTTAAAATATTGCATCATATTACTTTCAAGCTCCTACAGGGTCATGATACAGTTTCTCTGAAACAGGTCTGGCAATTAGGCTTAGGGAAATCTTCAGGGAACGTTGGATCATCTGTCACTTTTGGAATTAAATAATCACTTTCCTCTATATAACCATAGTCCATGGGATTAAGTTTCTCAGATGGTTCATTGGCATTCATTGAACGAACTTGCTAGAGGTACACAATGGAGTGTATAATAAGTTACAAGATCAAGGCAATAAAGCAAGTGATGGTACACAAGGCTATGTTTGGTTCAGTACACGGTACGTGGAGATGGTACAAGTGTGCAGGGTGTGGTGATGTCTATTGTGTGGGAGAATGTGGAGGTGTCAATCAGGTTACTCAGTGTAGGAAGTGTAACAGCACCATTGGGAGCTCAAGTCGAGTGCAGAATCCAGATATGGCCAGAGCCCTCCACCAGCGGCGATAAACATATCAACAGATACAATACAACTTGATTTGTTTCTATGCCTCTATTAAAGAGTGATAAGTATCAATTTAACCAGAAATCCGAATCCATCAACATGAGTTAAGAGTCTTCATCAGTGGTAGCCATATTTGATTTTAGTCCCATAAGAGCAATGTTAACTTTGTAACAGATTTTTTTTTAAACTTGTGATACAATAATGATTGAGGTGTTAAAATTAAGGTTTAGTGGTCCTTTAGGGAGTGAAGATTTTAGTTTTGCCATTTTCCCTCTACTTAATAAGTTAATGATCATTAATTAAGCCTTTAATTAAATAATTTAGAAAAGACAAAAACAAATATTTGAAATATCATTTCTTCATTCCCTAGTACTCTATGTTATAAACCTAATTATAAACTTTCAAAACTATATCTTAATAAATAACATGGACATGCTGCTTCAAATGTTGGTATGTTCTGTCAAATTTAACATTGCTCTTATGGGGCTAAAATCCAATATTTAAAATTTATTCAATTCAACTAACCAATTTTGTATGTTTAACTACTTTGATTTCATTGTTTGTTTTTTCTTCATCGACATTTATATTTTAAAGAAAACATACGTATAATAAACATGTCTAGCTATAACTAGATAGAGTAACTAAATAGGTCCAAACATTTCAGGTTGCTTTAGAAACAAGTTAAGATAAATAATAAAGATGTATTGTGTTATCCAGTTCATGAACTTGTTATAGTTAAGTTACTTTATGAGTCAGTTGTCTTTTGCTCTTGATCTTCTTAATTAGTCACTAGAGTCTACATATATCTTTTTTTTACAGTCAAATTTTGTTCTTCGCCTTCATTTGTAGTCACTGATGCACATTTCGCAAAAAAGGCAAGAGATGGTGTATTAGTTAGACAATTAGTTACATCTATTTACATGTAGTTTAATCAATAATTGTAACTTATACTAACCTCTTTTTTTAGGGAACAAAAAAAATACCAGCATCCGAGGTAAGTATTTAACCACTAAGTTAATTGATAAATTTATGTAACCACTAAGTTAATAATAAATTACATGAATAAATTAATTGTCGAACATGTTGTTTGGTTAGGACTTGTTAGCAAATGTGTTATAAAAGCTGTGTTGGCTTAATGTGCAAAGATGAAATGCTACAGCAGGAAAATATCTTATCCTGCCAAAACATAAATGTGGCCTATTGTTAAGGAGGAGATTGATATCACTTAACTCATTGACAACAGTTTCTCAAGTAGTGTTTCGTGTGACAGCAAGTTTAATGCTTTAGTAATATCGTACATAAATAAAAAATAATTCTTTATTGTCACACAAAGTTTTGAATCATAGCATAGCTAAAAAACAGAGGACATTGTCAAGATTATTACCATAGATAAAACCATTGACTATTGGATACTGAAGAGATAAAACATACTCCTTTAGTGAGACCTTATGGAACAGCTGAACACAATTTTACTGTTAGTTCTGTACGGTTTATGTAGAGGCTGTGTTTTGTTTACAATTTGTTTCCCGTTAATACAGTAATTTAAAACCTCGTTTAACCAAATAATACGATCTAATCATAAACAATAACTTGTCCCCTAGTTATGAACAGTAAAGCACAAGAAATTAACCCTAAAATAATAGAAACAAAATTTCTTCGACACTATCGCCCAGTGTCACCGTAACCCTAGATCTGGCAGTCATTTTCTTCACCAGTGGCGGGTATATTTTGGCCCTTTGTTGTGGTACCATATATGTTGCCACAGAAAATTTATTTGTGAATATAAGTACACTTATGTGTACGGTATATATATATTTTCTGTTTCAGTGATAAATGTAGAATATAATAGCCTACAATATAAAAATAATTTTTTCCTAGCAATGCGCTTAGGCGTAGTAAGCAAAACGTTTGTAAATTTTCGGATTATGCAAATTAGAAATTTCAAAATCAACCCACAAGAAAACCACAAAATATTTTTTTTACACATTTTATCTAAATGTAAAGGTTGTGTGAAATATGATTCCCTACGTAGAAATATCTATGTTTTTGAAATACTCATAAAAATAGAATTATAAAAAAATAAATTCTACATACATATTTTATTTTTTGAAAAACTACCAATTTTTTTGTCATGTAGGAAATAATAGAATGCATCAACAGAAAATAAATATGACTAGTGCACCTGTTGCTCGAATTCAAGCAATTGCATAATATTAAAGGCGTTTTTTTTTTTAAACGAATAACATTCACAATTTCGGTTGACTTAAGAGTCAACTCAAAGATAATGTAATCAATCACTTCACTCCAGTTATCTAAACTGGAAACGAACTCACTCTGAAAGAAAATGAACGCTCACTCCACTCCATCTATCGAAACTGAAAACGAACTCACTCTGAAAACGAACACTCTTGTGTGTATCATGTGTTTACTATGAACAGCTGTAATTAATACAAATTATTCGTCTGTTTAAGTAAACAAAATATTTTCTTCATAAGAAATACCAGTGGCGTAACAGAAGGGCCCAGGAGCTGAGGGGGCCCGCGAACCGGTGAGCGGGAAACGGCGAGCAGAGAGGCGTGAGACGAGTGGGGCCGAGAAATTGGAGCTCATTCTTATTTAAATGTATTATCAATCATTCAATAATTGTATTGAACAAGTAATAACGTTAATGTCATTAATAATATGTTGTTATCTGTTATCATTTAATTTTGTTAGGCTTCTTCAGTGATAACGAACTAGGGTAAAAAATTTAACGTGTTATAACGTGGGTCTTTGATTATTATGCAATCTTACTTTCGTCACCGAGAAATATTTTACTTCTTGGTTATTGCGTACACTGCTTATGTCGTCTGCAAACATTTTGAAACATTAAGTTACTTTGACTTTGGAGCCTGGAGTCATGAACGTTGGCTGGGGCTTTTATGTATTATTTTACATTTTAGTTTTGCCCTAATATATTGATTGTATTTTGTTAAATACAATATACTGCTACTCTACTGGCTGTGTTTGGTAGCCCATATCTTATTTTACCCCACAATTAAACAATACTAAAGACATTTGTTGTAAGTTAAACGCTTGAAATCCATACAAAGATAAAATTAAAAAATGCAATAGCTAGGCTATTTTAGCCTGTGATAAATTAAAAGTACGTCAATCTATTAAACTAACCAACTTTTAGTGTATGAGTTAATTATAACCAAAGATTAAATTAACCTAATAAATTAATACTTTAATACTTTACTTTGAAATGGCGACCATACCAATGTAGGCATTATAAGCCAAGAATTAATGGAGATGAGTGTAGGATGAGTGGCCCAACCTTTTAGTTTTGAAAGGGACTAAGACCGACATATTCCTTAGACACAGCTGTTAATTTAATAGCCAATACAGCCAAAGGCAACTAAGGGGCCTACAGTTTATAGGTGAATTCAAACCACATTTTTGCCTTGTAACGAATTAGTCTAATTATCAGGGTAATAAAAATGGATAACATGTGTGATAAATTAAATGTAAAATCTCCTTGATATAAACATTGTGATACGATGGAAAATAATGGTTTTTTTTATTTGAATTCAAAACTATTTACACACACTGATATTGATATACAGTAATGATGTAGTGATGTAAAATTTCATCAAACCACGACTAAAATACTTAACACACCCTTTTATGGAACATAACCTATAATTTATTTACCACTCTTTTTATGATTAATCTGTTTGATCATTGTATCGGTGGTCCAAAAATAACTCATGAGAGGGGGGCCCAAAAAATAAGTTTGCAGGGGGGCCCGTAAAAGTTTGTTACGCTACTGAGAAATACATTGGGATTTTGATGGCCTGTGGGGCAAAGCCCGAAGACTTTTATTACAGGAATTTGTGAAAGGGGGCGTCTACACAACGAATACTTAATTTTGACACCTTGTTTGTAAAAATCCGTTAATAATTAACGGAGGAGTAGTGTTTTGTAGAAATCGCCTTCACGTATTATATATAAGGATACTGCACAATAGGAAATAAAAGATCTCTCTGAAAATATATAGTTATATGTAGTTGAATTCTAACATTTCTGAGTAATTTACGTTGGAATGTAAAATTTTGAAGATTTTTTTTTACAAAAACATAATTTTTATGAAATTTTTAAAACCAAATAAAATTTGTACAATCAACCTGATAGATTCAGAGGGAATTGTTGGGAATTTATTGTAGTTTCAGAATATGTAATAATCTATATTTATAAAAGAGGAAGTTTGTATATATATTTGAACGTTATGGACTCCGAAACCGCTCAACAGATTGTATTGCAACTTTCAGGCATTAATAAGCATTATTCAAGGATGGTTTGTGTGAAGTTTGGTGCAGATCCGTCAAAAGGGCTCCACCCCAGTGGCTCTGGAGTTTCCCATGTTAACCTTATGACTACTCATATTTAAATGGAATTGAAGAATCTTAACAGCTGTTTCAACTAAACAATTTGATTCTGTGATGATCAATAGCATTAAAAGGTTACAAAATGTAGCAACAGGGTGCAGTACTATTGAACTGTCAAAGTAGGATTGTTTACAGCTATATTTATTTTTTTAATTTAATAAATAATTTTTGATAGTGTGTGAATTAGGAGTTTTATTTAACACGTTCGCTGCTACGGACGTTCCGGAACGTCAGCCGGGCCACGGCGCCAGGAGCTAAGAACGTTCCAGAACGTCACCGTTCATTGTTGTTTAACGTTGCTATGGATAAGCCAGCACGTCACAAGCGTTCTATATTTTTTTGCAGCTCGTGGGGACGTACTTTTCTAACAATAAAAAATATAGTTTCCCAAATCACCACCAGGGTCGTTTGGAGCAGGGCTTTGTTTTACCTCTTTCCTGCTAGATAGCGACATTACTTTACCGACTGTAACCTGGGTAGTGCTGCTATCTATCAGAATCACTTAGTACTATATCTAAAGCCAGTTTTATTGCAGAACATTGCCATCCAGTATAACAACTGTTGTTTGTACTGTAATTCAGTGTATAGGTGGCAATGTCACGCAGCGGCCGAGCGTTAGTTCAGCAACTGGCGCCGTCCCGGCATCTAGCGCTCAGCAGCGAACGTGTTAACGTCCAGCTTCAAAAGACTTCAATTTCCAGTGCGTTTGGCTCATGCAATGACGGTAAATAAAGCCCAAGGGGCAGCAGGCAGTGCGTGTTGCAGGGTTAAACTAACAGCTGTTTCAATTAAACAAGTTGGTTCTGTTCTATGCCCTCCACAGATTTGTTTACATTTTGGTCATGTGGATAATACTTTTTAATGAAACAGGTGTTCATTTTTAAATTGTATTTTAGAAACTGAATTGCCCAAAGGAAGTATTTGCAATGTTATTTTCTTGAACTCTTTGAGAGCCTTTGAATGTTATTAGACTAATGAAAAAAGGGTTGTGCATGTTTACTAGCACTACTCAGCAACAAAAACTATTTATTTAAAAAATATATTCTTAAAGTGCACTGAGCAGCAGCCTAAAAAATACTATGTAACTTCCTCATATAGTTACAAAATGCTGAAACTCGCATTGTAACATTTATGATTCGGCTTATATTTCTCCAACAGTTATTCATCTGCAAAAGAAGTTCAGTGTGCTCTTATCGTGTCTAATAACATCCAAATACAAAAACCTTGCCTAAAATGGTACCTATCTTGACAAATTATTTGCAGTGGCCTATATTACGGACCGTGGCCCATAACACAATATTTTGGCTGTAAGAGTAAATACTATTTAAGCAGCTACTGTCGTCACAGAAAGGTCATATTCCTTTTAAACTAGATCACATTATCATTTAAGATACGTTGATTAACAATATATGTAAACGTCAATATTTACGAAACAGCCAATTTACAGTACTGTATGTTTTTCTCTTTAGAAATGCCACATTGCTATTTCATTTGCATTATTTGTTGCCAATGAAGCCACACGACCATATAAACGAGGAGGTTTCACCTAGTCCTTAAATAATATCTTAAAAGGTGTTTGTCGTTTAAAATGATATTTGAATTGTAATTTTAATTTAGTAACATTATTTGTACTTACTCTAATGTTAATTTATCATGTTACAGGATAAACCTCTTCAAATCAATATTGTACGATATGATGACCGTGAACTAGAGTTTGACCTGATAGGAGTTCACACATCTCTAGCTAATGCCTTCAGAAGGATTCTTCTTTCTGAGGTTTGAATAAAATCATGTGCTTACTTATTATTTTTTTTTTTATAAAAATGTGTTGATCATTTGTATAATGCAAATCACCTATTCAAAGGGATAGTCATACAAAGTGGTATTTGTTTTAAGGTACTATACTTTTTCTCCTGGGGAACCATATTTTCTTTGATACTTTCTTATGAAATGGCGACCATAGGAATGAAGGTATCTTAAGCCAAGTACAGTAGACCCCCTCTTAACCGACCTTGTATTAACCGTTAATCGGATTATCCGCCTTCGATCGTAAAATAATACAGTGTGTTTTAACCGACCTTGCTTTGAGAGCCGTTCGGTTTAACCGCCGCTTTCTAGTCGAATAGATTACAGAATAGGACTGGCCTTTGAAGAGGTAGGGGATGCGACGTTGCCACGTTGTTCTTGGCTGGTGAGCTGACTTTCACCTAGAGCCTGGCACCCCCTGACTCTATCTTCCCACTTGTAGGGTAGTTCAACTCTACAAATTAATAATTTATTTTTTCTTGGTGGTATCGGTTAGTGTTGTTTTATTTTTATATCGTATGCAAGATACATTCATCCCATACATCATTATGCTTTTATTATTTGAATCAAAGTTATCTTTAAAATGGCTCAAACAGCTACCAGATGCAGTTTTTGAAAAATATACAAACATAAAAGTAATAAATACAAAATGAATCAATAAATTTCTGTAACAATAACAGTCAATTTATATGGCCAAACAACTTTTATAGCAGCTCTAAAAATCGTCTCAAACATTGCCCAACTTATCGTTTGATACATGAAACAAAATTAACATGAAAATGAAGAGGGTAAAATCTTCCATATTAATTATTCATTTGAGATGGGGACGCCACCTATGAGTATTTTAACCCAAATATGAGTGTAGAATGGAGTGAGATGCCTTGTGTAGGTTTGTTACTGGCCTGTTTCGAATTATAAGCACACTTTAAGGCAATTTCTTAAGAAAACAAGAGGATATACTCGAAATGCACAGGCCGACTGTCGGGCAAAGACTGAGTGCATATGGCACAACTTGGCAACAGTGGACAGTTTTCTGAAAGCTGATTGGATGCCGCTTGTCCTCACCCCACCTGACTCAAACTGGTTTCTGTCCTATTCTGTAATCTATTCGACTATAGGAATCTCTGCATTTCCGCTCCCACGCTGGGAGATGAGAACTGAACCATACTCTTATCTCCACAGGATATGACTAAGAATAAGTTATTTTGTATTGATCACCAAAAATGAAAAAAAATATAGCATATTATCAGTTTGTCATCATCGCGGAAGCCTATCATATCTGATTTGTTATCTGTGCGGCAAATTTATAACATCGTAAAGTGCATTACAATTTTGAGAACTGATTATCTTATCGCTGGAGTAAACAAACAATGCAACTTGTAGGGGGGGCAGGCAAGGGGGGTTAACAACTCCAAGGTCAAGATAGTTTTTGTGCCTCGAGCCTCCAGTGAGAGGCTATAAATAAATATCCTGTCTTGTAACAAAATTGTTGCTTGGATCTTTAATTTCGACAATAGGTTCTGTACTGTTTTTCGATGGATTTGGAAAACTTAAATTAATCCATTACAGTACTAAAGTTATTAAAATAGGAATTTTTATTGACTCTTGCCTAGTACTATAAAATATTCCACTGAAAGTAGGCCTATTTGACTTAACCGTGTTTTGTGTTTATTTGTGACATTTCTATCTTTTTTTTCTATCAAACTTCCACCCAAAACTTAGTTGATGAAAACAATACTTTTCCCTTCATACACTATGTATAGGAGGAGAATGTAAAAATACATGTCCAATTTAATCTTAAAACAAATGTTATCCTCAAATGTTAATCCTCAAATGTAAATCTTTCAGGTGCCAAGCATGGCAATAGAAAAAGTGCTTATTTACAACAACACAAGCCTTCTACAAGATGAAGTTTTAGCCCACAGGCTTGGATTGATCCCACTCAAAGCGGATTGTCGCTTATTTGAGTATAAGCCAGAAGGTAAAAAAAAAACAAAAAAACAATTAGTTTAAGAGTTCTTGATCTATTTTCTAACAAAACTCTCAAAACATTAGGCATCAATTATAATAAAAGTAAGGAGGTCAAGATATATATAGAAATAATTAATTTTGTCAGTTACTTTAGCAATCTCAAGCAGCATACTGAAATAAACCCTAAATATGGTTTGTATTCTAAACTTATCTTAAACAATAATAATTTTGGGGACAGAGGTTTTAAAATACAAGGTTTAATGGTACATAAGTTAAATGATTAATATAGGGTTACAAAAAAAAATTGTTCAGGGGTGGGGATTCGTGCTGGCCGAATCAAAAGATTTCCAATTTAAATTTTCAATGAGTATGGTAAATTATAAATTTAATAATCTTTCAAAAACAATAAATTAAATAGGAAGGATTTTGATTTTAATTAATGGAGGTAAATAGGGTCCAAATGGATGCTTGAGGAGTCTATAAGTTAGTCTGAGTTAATAAATGGAATGTTCTCACCAATCTTCTGTAATAATAATTTTCTTCTTAGTTTAAAGGCTTAAACTTAAAGGCTTAAAGGCTTCTTCTTTCTTCGGTTAACTTAATTTGGATATTTTGCCAATACTTTACTTTATATTTTCATAATTTATTTCACAACTAATATATGTAGTTTCTATGTGCTCTTCTTGAATAGCTAAACTGCACTCTCCTTTTCATTGTTGTAAATCATATCAAGTTATGGGGTTCACATCAATAAAAACATGGTTGAATTTTATTAATAATCTTGAACCCAGATGGATGGTGTTCTGATTGGAGGATTTGTTTTTGAATAATAATTTTGGATAAGCCAATGAATAAATTTTGATAGTAAATTATATATATGTTGAGACAATATGGTTTTAATAATATTAAAAATGGACATGGATAAATATTGAAAATATAACAAGATTGAGTTTGAAAATAAAATAAGGACTATAATTATAAACATTGAATTTTGAGTCATTACAATATCCCCTCAGAAAATATGTAATTAAATTTTTAATGACATATTTTCGCTAAATGACGAAAAATATATTTAACATTATACAGCAAATAACAAATATTGAGATGAAATTGAGTTGAAACAAAAATCTAACAAACTTAACATTAAGGTTTAACTAGAACAAATTTCAGTTGGAATGAACATAACAATAAAATAATTCTAAAATAGCAAAATGATTACTATCCCCTCCTATCTTCTACAAACATTAAAAAACATAACATTAATTTAAGTGGTTAAAACAATTTTTTTTTATTTTTTACATAATAAATGAATGGAGTGATGAACAAATGTTGAAATATGAAATGAACATGAGACATATAAGAGATGTATGATTCTTATAGGTACCATGGAGTACATTAAATGAATAGTTGTTTGTGATTGCTTGATGATAACCTCTTATAACTAAATACATTAAATTTGTGATTATGACTATAGTTTAACTATTGGGACAGAGGTAACTGGGAAATTGGCTTGTTAACTCACTGCTTGTGTGGGTATGATTTAAAATTCTTCCTTTTTACGACAATGTTTACTGGGTTAAGCGCACATTACAGTTTATCTTCTATCTTCGGTTGTGGTGTGTAGATCGGTTCCATGTATTTCTTCATGGAGGATATATGATAGGGTCCATATAATTTATCATTGTAGAGATCACTTATGTGGTATGTTGATGGTCCAAGTATTGGGGAAATCGGTTTGAAGGTCTTCATGTAATTGTGGGTCTGTGGTTCTTTCTTGGGTAAGTGATATTCTTTGTACATTGTAAAATAGTTTTCTTCATTGTTATAGTAGTTATCATATGGCCTTTGGCAATTGCCTATATCTATTTGACATACTTGTCCCATTTTAATACTCATATCACATTTTAGATTAATATCAGTATCATTAATTGTTAAGCTTAATTTATTTTCATTAGAATCTATCTTTAGTCGGAGTTCTGTTAATGTGTCCATACCAAATATCACAGGTTTAATTAAATTAGGTATGATAAGAAATTGAAGCCAGATGGTCTGATGTTCAATGGTTACAGGGGCATAAATGATTCTTGCAACACGTTTTGATTTTTCACCAGTAGCTGTAGTTATTGTTATATTAGACAAAGGAAGTTCTTCAAATGGTTCAATTATTTTTTGATTCTCTTTGAAACATTGTTCGGAAATACATGTTATTGTAGAACCAGTATCGATTAATGCTTTTGTTGGGAGATTATTGATTCTAATATCTATTTCAGGGCATTTAACTGGTTTGGATACAGGAAATTTATTATTTTCAGTGGGTTCATTTAATAAAAAATCTTGATCACACATTATATTATTTATCGAAAAATTGTTAGGGTTATTTAAAGAATTATTTTCGAGGATATTTGCTGTTGATATCGCTGTAGTTGTTATGATGTTAGTAGTTGGTGGTCCTCGGCTTACATCTACAGCGACGGGTCGTTTCCCTGGCTGGTGTGTGAGGGGATGAAATTTGTTGGAGATCTTTGTTGTGTTGCTGTGTCATGTGGACTGTCTTGACTTATCATGGCACATACTTGTTTTTGCTCATTTGTAGGATACGGTTTGCTGTTATTGTAGTAGTATTGATTAGGCCTTTGGTGGTATCGGTTTTGATCAGTGAGCGTATTGGTATAAGGATGCTGTCTGTGGTTTTGATTGTAGTTTTTGCAAGGATCATGTCTGAAACGGTTGTATGGCTGATATTGGTGTTCTCTAGGTTCTTGATGTTCTTGGTGCGGTGTCCGTATAGCATAAGATGATGTTTTTGGTTGATAGGCTCGATGGTTAATATCAGAGCTATATGATGGAGTCTTGTTACGATGTGTAGGACTATTTGGTCGGTGATCCATATTATGGTAGTTCGCAGGTTTGCTCCTTTTGGGTCCATCTCGGATATCTTCTTTTTGCAGAAGTCTTTCGAATGCTCGAATTGTTGTCACGTTCTGTACTTGAATGCTATCTTGGATGAGTTGATCAAATCGTTCGCTTAACAGGATCACTATTTCCTCTTCAGTCATTTGTGGTGTAATAGACTGTAGCAATAGGACTCTCTCAGTAAAATATTCAGTTCTGTTGAGCGTTCCATTAGGTTTGTAATGTTCGGCTTCAATCTTGCTACGTACTCCTCTTTGTACTTCACGGCTCCAGTATTTCATGGTGAATTCTTCGGAGAATCTTTCCCAACTGTTAATGTCTGCCTTAACCAGTTGAAGCCATCTGGACGCTGGTCCTTCAAAACTGACGTCGAGCAGATCTTTCAGAATTTCAACAGGGTCGTTATTAGGATTTCTTTCTATCCTTTTGGCGTAGAACCGTTTAAGTTTTTGTAGATATTCATTTGGATTTATAGTTCTTCCATTGAATTTAGGGATTTGTCTTTCCATTGGGTCAGATCCTGAACATATGATTTGAATAGGATTGTCGTTCCGGATTGGTGAATGATGTTTCAGTTTTAGTGACTGTACTTCACTTTCACATTTGTTTAGAGTTTCAGTAATAGTTTTAATTTCGTTTTGTTGTTCTTGGATAAGATTATTTTGTATGTGTAATTTAGGAACAATTTCATTGTGGATGGATTGTGCATAATATTTAGCAATATTTTCACTGTCGGTTTTTGTTTGTAGCACTAATGCTTTCATATTTTGTTCTAACTTTTGTTCTTGTTGTTCCAAGTTATTAGTTACAAATGTCTGGATATTTATTTTTGATTCGTCAATTTGATTTGTGATTTGAAATTGAAATTCTTTGTTCTCTTGATTTTGGGACTGTTGGTTAGCTTTTAGGACATTTAATTCCTGGCGAAATTCACTTTGTGTTGTTCTAATGTCATTTATTTGTTCTGTTAGAATTTTTTGACATGATTTTATCTCACGGTTTAGCTCTATTCGGGTCTGATCTAATTTTTGGTTTAGTTGTGTGTTGGTTTGATCAAGTTTAGTGTTAAACTGTTCTAGAAAATTAAATATTTTGTTCAAATCCGGTTGTTCAGTAGTTTGCGTAGCTTTAACTTCAGGTGGTTGAGAAGTTGCGTGTGTGAACGTTGGGATTACGTCATTGGGACGGTTTTCAATGGTCGGAGACTCGGTCTCCAACAGCTGGAAACTTGCTTCGGGCGTCTTCGTTAACCCTCGGATGATTCCGTGTGTCGATGTGGTTCTAATATCAGCTGACTGTGAATGTGTGCTTTGATTGGCTGCGGGTCTTTGGTGTACTTCAATAATCTCGGCCCGGTCCGTTGATTCTGATTGGTCGCTCTCGTTCCGGTTCAAATCTTCGACACTGGGTCCACTGGGATTGAAACGTTCCGAACCCGAACCGGTGTTAGATTCATCTTGGCCTTCTACATAGGTTACGTTTTCCATTTCTTCTGTTGACAGATTTGACGATTCGTCTGATTCGTGTTGTTGAAATGATAATGCAGGATAACGTCTCGGTTGTCTCAAATTATAGTGATTATCGTTATCGTTGTTAGCCATTTTGTTTACGACGGTGTAAGGGAACAGGGATATTATAGGACAAGTTGGGTATCGTTATAACAATAATGAGCTAGGCCTAAGCTTTACGACATGAAATAAATCTGTTTTACCTTATAGTAGCCTATTTATTTTTAGAATTACAAGTCGTTTAGTTAGTACCTAATATTGGTGGGACATAAGTTGTGGGAAATCGGGATTCTTAATCCTACCTAACTTCTTAAGAGTAGGCCTAACATACGTAAGTAGCCTATTAGCCTATTGGTATTTATTAGCCTATTTTAGATTGTCTCAACATACGATTATGAAATCTTTTGATTCAAGCCTATTACGTTGGGCGCCATTGAAATAAACCCTAAATATGGTTTGTATTCTAAACTTATCTTAAACAATAATAATTTTGGGGACAGAGGTTTTAAAATACAAGGTTTAATGGTACATAAGTTAAATGATTAATATAGGGTTACAAAAAAAAATTGTTCAGGGGTGGGGATTCGTG